CCAACAGCTAAAAGGAGTGAAACACAAAATCAAACAAAAAAAAAAAAACAAAAAAAAAAGCACAAAGCCATATTCCAGCTCTTACTTTGCACAAACACACAGCCACAAAAATAACTTGGCTAGATGCCGGCAATGAAGTGCTACGAATGCGACAGGTGCACACTCGACCAGTCAGTCAGTCATGCAAGCAGGCAAGTTGCCAGGACTCAGCACTGCGGTAGACAGTGGAAGCTGGTAAATGGCGGCAAAGCACGTGCGCCATATACGAGCAGCAGGACATGCAGGAAAAAGGATTCCCATGCTCATTTAAGGATACTTCTTACTCAATTTCACTGTAGGGAATGTGGCTGCAGATTGAGTAGAATACTAGTATAAGTACATACATATGTACATATATGTGTATATATGGAAGTGTTTATGCAAGCATGTGCATGCTTACTTTTAGTAACTAACATATGCAAACGCTTGTAACTGCTATTTATGCGCTGTAAGGACACGCGCGTACTACTCAGCACAAAATGCCGCTGCAACACATAAAAGACCTCATAAACACCGTTGCTGGGATCAAAAGTTTTTACTACGCTTTAATCAAATTCGCGGCGCGATTTTGCACCAGCAGACACCACTTGCACTTATACTTGTATGTACTTGTGTAATGGCATCTAAGGTATTAAAGCGGTGCTAAATGTGTTTGCATTGCAATAGCAAAGGTATAGCCTTGGAGCTTAGAGTTGCAGCGGTAAAAAGGAGGCGCAATAAAACGTTGAAAGCATTAGTGGCATTTAAAACTACAGTTGAATGCATGACTTTAATAGAAAATCTTTATATATGTACATATGTATGTATTATCAACTTGATGACTAAAAACGCAAAAGCAGTCTCCAAAAAAATATTCTCAAAAATCAACGCGATTTTGTAGCCGGTTCAAACTTGCACTTCATTATACTAAAACTGAATAGCCTACAAAACTGCATACTCTGAATAAAAAGTTGAAAAGTTAGTTGACATTTTTTTGGAATTTTTGTGAGACTTTGATTTATATGGTTTATATTATAGAATGAACTATATTTTCATAAATAAATAAGGCAAAAATTTTTCGAGAAAATAATTGCTAATATTATATTAGAACAAGGTGTATACTTTCATTTGTCGCCTAGTGTATTTAAATACAAAAACTGTTTGTATAACCTTTGGACCTTTTCGATTGGTTTAGCAATGTGGTGCATTGTAGGCAATTTATTTACTAATGTTTTTGGCGCTTGCATGTACAATAGGGTGGTCCTAAAAAAATAAAGTCATCCCATAGGATTATTCTATATCGAAAAAATATACACCGATTTTTCCATCTTGAAATCAAAAAATATTTAGAGGTCGCTCAAAGCGCTCAAAGTTTTCCCAGTGTTTTAAGTATATGGTAAACAAACAACTTTCCCTAGAAATTTTGTAGAATTCTTAAAAATCAATATTTTTGCGAGGCTGCCAATAAGAATACCCAATTGTTTATTTTATCATTTTTTAATATTCAAGATTTTTCTTATACCTCTCTCGATTGATACCCATATTGAAATATTTTGTTTAACATATTATTTAAATCGATTTAAAATTTTTAAACAAGTGGCAACTCTCTTAAAGAATATTTTCGAAACAAATGGTGTTTTTGAACCTCTTTGATTTGACTCCAATACTGAATCGACTGTAACCTTTTAAACAGCTGGTAACCCCCTTAAAAAAATTTTAAATAAATAGTTTTGCAACATATTTCGTTCGAAACCCATGCTGTTGTAACATTTATTTAACTTATTACTTTGTTGATTTTAACTTTGAAAAAATGTGGCAACTTGTTTGCCAAATTTCATTGAAATACATCCAGTCTCATTCACTCACAAACGTTCACATTTATAATCGGTATGTTTTTGTTTAACCATCATAAGCTAGTAGCTAAGTCTTGGTCAAATATAACCAAAATTGCTTATTTCTTATCGAGGCGAATTCATACAAGGTGGTGTTGCCGGAGCAGCCGGCCTAATCTTGGCAGTTGTAGGACTGCAAAAAAAAAATAATATTTCAAATCAAGTTTCTTCAGATTTTTTTGTGCGAATATCTGCTTCATGGTATTTAGTAAAGCATTCGATTTGCGTCGGGCCAATTTCAGATGAAAATTGAAATGGCACTTAAGTTTAATTTGGTTCTGCGTCAGATCACTCTTCGTATTTAGGTTATAAACTATATTAATAATTTAATAGAAATATTTTTTAACATACATACATACACATTGATTACTTTCAAACGTGTTTTGAACCATCTTAACGCCAAATATTACAGTTTATTTCTCCCAATTTTCTTTTTCTCTCTAATTCTAGCGAAATCAAACTTGCACCATTGCCGTCGTTCATTGCATTTGGGTCGACACAATCAAGAGGAATTGACCATGCAATGAAATTAGTGTCAGACGGCTCAACATGATGGCAACCGCAATTGAAACCACATTTATCACTCGCCAGGTGGCGCCCACATCAGTTGCATTAGCAGCTAAATTGTCGCAGACAAACCGAGTGAACCCACCGGCAGCAACACAAACATTTAACACAACAACAACAACAACAACAGCAGCAGCACTGACTTCAACAGAAACACCGGAGAGACCACAAAGTTTGTGTTCAAGAACCACAGCAAAAACAACAAAGCATTGTCTTTTCAAGCATACACCATACTTAGCCACGTTCGGCCCTAGCACTGGCCGCCACATGCGGCAAATACTCAATGCACATCTGGTTATTACAGCAACAACACTGCAGCAATGTGCGGCAGTACGATGGCAACTGTTGGTTGTCTTCCTTATCTGCAACTGCATTGGTGAGTAGGTTCTTGGTACTTGCTATGGCACACTGTAGTCTAAATGTGTACGAGTGTGTGTGTGTGTGTGTGTGTGTGTGTGTGTGTGTTGTTGCTCGAGTCCTGCAGGAAATGAAGCTAACTCGAAACTAAAACTAATTAATTTTTGCTTTCAATTAAATTTATACTGACTTTTGCG